ATAGCACAACTTTTCGAAAATTCTAATTACGCTTTCCTTACACTCCATAAAAGATTAAAAACAGACTTGAAACTCGACTCGCGATAATAAGATCATACATTTGACTACACTCAATGAATGTCGAAAAATATATAAACAACACAAATTCTTACCTACTCTGCCATTGTAACAATGTGACATTCAGGAAAATAATAACATTTGAAGAACAAATGGGAACACATCGCTCTGTCCTTGTCTAGAGCGCGCATTTCAAACTGCGTTTTCGAATGGACTCGCGCAGCGAGTTAAAACCTCGGCAGCCTCACCTCCACAGGGGCGAAGGTGCGGCAGCCGGGTATTATTTTGAAGGAAATTTGACGAGCTTTCCAACGATATGTCATTCGTCCATAAAAGTGATAGGTGTAGGTTAGTTAATCAATATTGTCATATTGGACATCGGCAGCCACCCTTAAAGCAGGGGATGAAGGGTGGCAGCCGGGTATTGGAAGGTCCATTTTATTGCCCCCTATCTATTGAAACAGAAAATTTTCATAAAAGCAATGAGTGAAGTACCTCGCACAATTTTATTTGTTAACAATTTGTTATAAGATATAAAGCAGGGGGTACGATTTTGGCTGACAAGCAATTAGTATTGTGTGGTACATTACCCACTGTTTCGAGTAAAAATTTGTCATAAAAGCGATTGACCCAAATTTTTGCGGTGGGCTCCCGGACTAATAGAAATCTTACAAAAATATTCGCAATTGTTTAATTGACATGAAAACAATTATGATGAGATCGGAGATTACAAACATAATAATCAGTATTTGACATCGACTATTTATCAATGCGTCGACATCAAACGTCGACATTGACGTCGATTCGACTAATTATTTCTGGCTGGATACGTAAGCAATACAAAGTGAATTTGATGTCTTTGATTCTATGATGTCTTTGAATTTATCAGATTAAAATCAGTGTCCGCAAGTAATCATTACGTTCTACTAATATATATATGTGTATATATATATATATATATTTAAAATTTTTAGGACGAATATTGATTCGTCCTAATATATAATATTTAGATACTCAAGATATTTATTACACACGCTTTCAAATTGTAAGCTTGAAAGTATATTTTCTCTTATGCAGAGGAAAGATATTAGAGTAATGTGTCGTTGCGATGACATTTATAACAGTTTATAACATATTTAGCATATTTACAATTATAATTCAATTTAGTGAGTCGCGATTTATAATTTCTTATATAAAACTTTATCCTGTTGTCATTCTGTAATCCAGAAACTTATATGAGAAATCTGTCCTTTTTAATTATCCGGCGATTTTGTGCTTAAACATACCTGCAGTGTACTTACGGAAAGAAAGAATTAAGTATAGAAAAATTAAAAAAACGGGCCTAAACAATCTATTGCATTGCACGATTGACTATTACCTTTATTTAATTCAGTATTTTGTGGAAAAATTGATTCATTTGGAATTTCGTTGTCCTGACTCGTCGACAAATCCGAGATATTGTCGGAGGCGTTGATAACGTCAAGTTCAATCGCATCCTGATTCGGAGTAAGATTCGTGTAAACGAATTGGTTTATGGTAATCGGCCCATTGTAGATGGTCTCGTTACCCACACGCACTTCCGTCGAATCCGTCACGGAGATTGCACCGAAAATCGACGGATCAGTGTTTGGTAGGACGACATCGACATTTGTGGTGGCGACCGCTTGATGCTGCTGGACGATGGTCGACGGATTCATGATTCAGCCATTGCTTTCTTCGACATTCGTCGCCTCTTTCTCATTGTTGTCGTCTACGTCAATCTAATGCGTAGAGGAATCTTCAACGCTATCATTTCCCGGAGCTACGACCGCGGTTTCCCTTGCGCCGTACGCCCAGCCTCACCACGAAACCTGTCGACCGCGTGACTCTCGGCAGACACAACAGCACCGTGCTCCTGGTGCTCCTGACTCTATATTAAGTGATTACCGGCGAGCGTTTGCTGCTGCTGTTGCAATGTCAATGTCAACACATACACATGCGCCACGCAGAAAATTCACCTTCTTTATTATATGTCCTAAAATGCGATACGCCGCATGCAGCAGAATACGCTCGTCGAGAAACAGCTGTAGGGTTTTTAGATAAATTTATCAGACCGCTACTATAATTCGAGATTATAAGAACCGACTATGAATACCGCGGCCTAAATGTTTGATTTAATTCTTTATCTCTTTTTCTTCTCATTTCAGATACTTAACGAGGGAAAAATCAATTTGGAAATGTGATTCTTTTTTTATTGTTAATATAGGATTTTTTTAACAGTTTGCGAAAAACTACGGCTTTTAAATTGTCTTAAAAATGATTTTTCCAAAGATCGTCGTTTGATATATTTAAAGCACTCGAATAAAAATAATTAGTATACGCTTTCGAGTTTTCCTTGTAAGATTTACAAAAGAACTGATATATATACTAAATCATGGTTAAGATTGACTAATTGGTGAAACCGGTCATTTTAGTATCGTTGAATAAAATCGACGAGGAATGTAACAGTTCGTTTCTAATCGACGACTGTCGGATGTGCTTGTTGAGTCCCTGTTCCATACAACAATAGAAAGTTTTAATCAAGAAAATTATGTTAACAAAACTTTAACAAAATTAGTATGGATGAACAATTTCTGCGATATAAACAGCAATGATAAGAAGCTTAAATAAATATATTAGATTAAAAATAAAATTCAGTAAGCCAAGTATTATCTGGTATGGCAATCTTATTTAAACTTCCTCCATTAATTGAACAAGGCTTCAACGTTATGCGTGCTGCATACGGTATGGTATAACGCACTTGTGCATTTTACATATTGCGGATATTTATTAATTATTTTAAATCGATACAAATAATATACATAAATTAAAGACATTGGATGTGTATCGCTGATTCAGTGAATAAATTCTTTATTATATCTAAAAATTATACTATTTAAGTCATTAAGAATTCTTACGAAAGCGAACACATACTAAACATCGTTAATGTACGCCATCTGTGCTTTTTTTGCATCGTATCTTTTATCTTGCATCTTTATCTTACGTTATTTTATGAATAAAAACCATCGCGAACAATTCAGAAATGTTCCAGTACAATTATTGTTCTATGTATAACTTTGTATTAATAATATATTATTTGAATTCCGTTTTTACAGATTATGGAGATTCACGCCGGTTAAAATAGTATATGTTTCGAATAGAAGTATGTATATGATAAAAGAACGGCGAAGAGAAAACGATGAGTATCTTTCATAAGAAGCAGAACATCTACAACAAATTGATTTCTTTGTGAACAAATTACTTATGGACGATTATAGAATGGACTAAACATCACAATATTATATCTTCGCCGTTTAAAATATTTTATTACGTTCAATCTGGCTGATCAATCGTATCTCGCTTATCTATACCACAGTGGCAAATTTCTAAATTATCATAGTCATGGTTTAACTCTTAATGCGATAAAATTACTTACAATTTTGGTATGATTCATAGCAGAAGATGTCATCATGTTATGACATCTTCATAGCAGATATAAATAGTCCATCATGCCTTATCTTGACAAATTACAACATCAACTATAAAAGCGAAGTTTATCGCGATAATATCGTATTTTGCGTACATTTTATTTTAATTGAAAACTCGTAGGTAAAATAAAAGACAAGCTCAATCGAGAAGCATCACTCATGATCAATATCCCAAATCGGCCCAGCCGATCGGCATCAACAATCCGCATTATCCGCTAAATTAAGTATTGACTGATTCGATCATACTCAAGATTACCTCGCACAAATCATCGTTCGTGCTGGTGGTGGTCACTTTGTCAACACTAAATCCACCATTAATCTATTACAAGATGTAGTCACCGTGAAAAGCGCTTCGCGTAGTCACCATGAAAAAAACTTCATTCAATCTAGCCCTAATGGTTTTTGTCACGTTGTTGATACTATCTGCAGTTGGAGGATGCACCGTCCCGCGAGAACAAACTACAATCCGAACAAGAGTGGAGTCGGATTAAGCCATTATCAGTTATCTTTATT